CGATGTGCACGGGCACTGGGGCCGCGGCGCAGTGGTATAGGTATATTCCTGGGGTTAGGAGCTTGAAGTTCGCCGTCTTGGTCTGGTTCTCTTCGGCAGTCGTCAGTGCGGCGCCACCCCCGGGACCAGTAAAGGCGTGACAGTCGATGTTGTGTGGATTTCCCGACTCGTCCTTGTTCGTCAATGACAGCTCCACCACATCACCAACTCGTGCTCGGATAAATGGTCCCGGAACCATGTCGTTGAAGGTCCACTGCTCGTACTTGAACTGGCTCGTCAGCTGTGTTTCTTTGGTCGTCGTCACCATTGGCACTTGGAGGAGAACGGGGTAGTCGCGAGTGATGGGCGGAGGGACAAATGGGGCGGCTGTGAGAACCGCGTTCTCTCTTGGCAGTTTCGATGATATCGAGGTCCCCGTCCTCAATGGCATCGTAGATCTTCAAGTGCTCATCTGTAACTTCTCCTGGTCGCACGAAGGAGATGGAAGGCTGCGATGAGACTGGCTCCAATGTCATTACAGGTTTTTGTTTTCCATCATTTTGGCGAGTTGCTTGCTTTCCCGAGACGGCGGAAACTGCTGTGTTTGGGTTCTTGTCTGAGGAGACCAAGTTCGATCGAGTTGTATCCTTGCCTCCAGTGTACATGGACAGGCCGATAGAGACAGAAGCGGAGACCGCGATGAGAATAATACGGGCTCGCTTTCCAAAGCGACTGGTATTGGCGGCTGTGGTCGTCGTTGCAACTCCACGTGATGAAATCGATCCAGCCCCTCCGAGGAGAAGTGGAGAGGAAATGAGAGCTCTGTTTGAGAGCATGAAATTCTGTCTTTGCGACGATGCTGCTCTCCACGACGCACTCACTGGTGCGCGGAAGTAGCTCATCCTGGCAGTGAGGGAGGGAGAGAGTGAGACAGGAGGTTGTTTATGTCTGCTATAATAGCAAACGTAAACCATAAAAGAAGAAAGAAGAACGAAGGAACAAAGAGGGTTATAGACGCATCAAGCGGCAGGAGAAGCAGGAGAAGCAGGAGAAACTCACATATGGTGGTAACCTCGACGTCAACAGCAGCCTCTCGTGGTGTGATGTGATACCCCGTTTAGGTAGTGAACTTGTGGTTCACCCACACCGAAAACGGGGTAGCACACTCTCGGCCGGCCAAACCGCAATAGCAAATGCAGTGCTGACACCCCCGGAGCAGCGTGCCGATAGGTTCAAATGGATACCGGCACTGCCCCCGAACGAATCAATAGTGGCGCATTCCGCATCAATGTCTCGTTTTTGGCCCCAAGTAGATGTCTTGTGGTTCAGGGACTCCTTCGGGATCGACACTGGAAATTGGCCAGTGTAAGTGGACTGACCTGGTTACCTAAACGGCGGGTGGCATTCTTAAGGGTCGGTCGGGCGGAGAAGCTAGAGTAACTGGTCTAGAACAAGGCAAAAAAGAGAGCTAAAGTCCGCAGGACCGAGACACATTTTCTTGGGGGGCGTGGGCGTTAACCCGCAGCCTTTCGTCTCCAGAAACGGAAAACGCCCAACCCGCCACAATGACGTTAGCTAAGTGGCGGCGGGCGGCTGACAGCTGAATACATTTTTGGCACCGGGGTCAAGGTGCCCCATTCCCCATTCCATAGAGGGAGCTGAGAAGATAAATAAATATATGGAGTTCTCCGAGAGCTGATGTTTCTTTTCTTACCCACAGTCATCTCATCAATATTGTCTTTCGTCGATGTTGGATGGTCGCGGTCGACGAGTGGACGGTCGGTCGGAATAGACCCGTCTTGGCAGTAGCCTCCAACCTCGCCATTAGCGCCAACCGGGGTGGCCGCTGGAGCGGCGTCGTCGAATCAGCGCGGTTTACCAAAATAAGCTGAGTTAGTTCCTACTGTCTTGGTGCTGTCAGCACGGCCCGCGAGCTCAACGGATCACCATATTATCATCCCAGCCCAATATTACCAACACTCTATTGACATATAGACAACGTTGCCACGCGTTTGAACTGTACCCCACGTTCTCAATCGCTGTTTCCCCGCAAAGTGTCAGCTCTCTTGGCCGCTTCTCTGCGTAATATATTACTGTAGTATCGGCAGGGAATACGCTCCTGTCGATACGAATCTCGCACCAATGGAAACCTTGCACAGGTGGGCACGAGGGTGTGTGGTTGCGGCCCGTAAAGTAAGGTTCCCCCAATCTTTGCGTGAAATCTGTACGGGAACATCTGTAGCACAGAGGCGCCTTGATCGTATATGTGCACATCATATTAAGCTTGACGGGGAGGGGAGAGTACGGCTGACACGGCTGCGCCACTATTGACATATATATAGTCCTATATAGAGACTTGTATGCAGTCCTATAATTATACAGCTCTGCGTAGATCAAAATAAGTGCACATAGGTTGAACTATGGCAGATTCCACTTATAAAATCGTAGCTTCATCTCAACTCTATATACCGTTCTTGGTGTCTCATTTCTCAGATATGCCCAACCCCAGCGTGGCCCGTAACCTTACTCTTACACACGGCTAGCTGGAAGGGGCATAACCACGTCGTACATCTTGGAGGTATACCCATTAAGTGTGTCAACGCAGCTGTATTCGTCAAGCTTGGCCAGCCGCCCGAGCCCGTCACTGTGTTGACTTCGCACACCCGGCCAAGGGTACTCGAACAAGCCGAGGCACTACTCGAATCAGGGACATTGTAGATTAGTCCAGTGTAACTCGCCATTGGTGAATCAACGCTTCCAAACATGTTACCTTCCAGTAGGGCACTAGCGCTATCGTATATATCGAAAGCATGTCCCTTCATATTGGAAAATAAGTTGTTGCCGGCCTGGACTGTGACCGTAACCCCGTCCGCACCGATCTTGGGTGCGCAACCTGAGACGTCGTGGTAGTAGTTTCTATCAATGGTAATGAGGTCTCTGGGACTAATAAACATGTTTGTCCCAAGACCAGTTCAGCAATATCCTTTGGAGCTCCCGGTGCTGCCGCTCCTCCACCAGTAGTTCTGTACGCAAAGCCACAGGCTTCCAAGGACGGTATTGATGTCGCTGTGGGGGTGCCGCTGCCAGTAGTAGTCGGGGCAGACCCCTGATCTTCGACGCCAGTTGAGTCGAAAGTGGACCCGATGGGGCCAAACTTGATGTCAGAGTAAATAACTGAACCTGCTCAGCCTTGACATCAGCGGGCACACCAGAGCCCGTCGCGGAGGAGCCCCGTGTGCCGCCGAGCTTGGTACTGTCCATGGGGTAGGTGGAGTCGAGCCAAAGCATGTTAGCAGCATGGTCGTCCCAAAGGGACATGACCAGGGCCATGGGCTTAGCTAATGCCGCGCTCAGTGTGGCTAAGCCTCCTTTGTCCATGAAAGAAGTGTTGTCACCAAAAGCTGCCCTTTGCGCCACGCAGTAGTCTTCAGTAACGGGATTTCCAGAGACACCGGTAATCAAACTCTCGGAGTTGGCGAGAGCCTTGTCATCCTGGAGTAAAAGCGTTTGATATCACTTAGGTGCCATTGGACCCAGTGAGAAACTGGGTGACAACTGTCATGGGCTTTGTAGAATCAACGGTGAAACTGTCGCCAGGGCCGTAGAAGGTCAGATCACCTTGACGGTAACTGTTGAAGTCACATCCATCGGGGTCGCAGTTGCCACCATAACGGTCTGTTGAATATGTGCCGCCGCATGCATCTCCAACGTGTGAATGGTATGCATCATTGGTGCAAGGATGAGGAGTTTAGGCTGTTGCGACCTTGTTGGCCTCCCAGATATCCATCTCGGCACAGCAAGCACCAAGGTTGCCAATGTCAGCGTTTGCATCGTTGGAGGAAGCGACCCAGCTTTCTACATTAGCCTGGTTGCAAGTTAGTTTTATAGTGTCTTTAATTGGGGAATGAACATCTTACTTCACCGTCAATAAACTTGACATCCCGCGGACATTGAGAGTCACAGTATCCAGTTCCGCATTTTGGACCAGCCGTGTTGCTAGAAAACTTTCTTACACCACCATCCAAGTCCATGGACGAGATGTAAAGAGCCCCATTAATACCGCAGCTAATTCCCCTTATTAGCTAATGTGATACGAAATCATGCAAATTATACTCACTCCAGATTAGATACATCGACATCAAAGGTGAACTCATTCCCCAGCAGAGTTAAGCCCTGATACTTGCTCTCCGACTCAAGTAGATACAAACGGCTGCCGATATTCGTGCTGAATTCGCCCTCAGCGACAAATTTCAATGTCAACGCATCACCATTAGTCGTAGCACCATAAGTGCCTCCTAGTCGGCGCCATCAAGACAGCATGTCGTAGCACCCTCCGCATTGGAAGGGCAGAGCGCTGCATCCCACTCGTTGCCGGTGTAACAGTTGACATATCCGTCAGTGGTGTGAAGCCAGCGCCAGTTTGAGTCGATGACGACGGATCCCTGTTGACTTGTGCAAGTGCCTCCCATGGCGCACTTGGACCAGGCCATGGAAGGATGAGTTTAGGCAGTGAGGGTGCATGCTGACTGGGCGTGAGCAGCGGTCACAACAGCGGCGAGAGCTACGACCTTGGATATCATTCTGAACTAAGTTAAATCTGACAAATAACGGGGGGGCTGAAGAATATGGACAGATGAAACTCACGACATACTCTGTGGACTAGACATGATTATTATATACTTTTTGTGCCGTTCCCATGGCCCGTTGCTCATGGGCTTATAGGTGGGGACATATTATCATTCATTTCCGTTTTAAATGAATGATTCTGTCACTGAAAATCCCTGAAAATCTCTCAATGGAATTGCAATTGTTGCAGCCACCATTGCGGAATTCATGGAAAAATCAGCTTCTTGATTCTATAGGAATCATCTCATGATACGTGGGAAACCGTCGATAATTAGGAATGCGGATACTTGCCTAGTTTAAACAAGGATTACAGCCGGAGCCATATACCGAAGATTTAACAAATGCTACCGAGAACTACTGCAACCCTAATAACTGGTTCGGCACAACAACCCCACTCCGAACTGGTGTATCGGTAACATATCCGCCTCTCACCATTCGAAAGAATTATGAATCCGCGGTTGCGCGGGGTTCGACTCCCCGGTTCGGAATATTTCAGAACCATCTACTCTCAAGTAGACCAGTCAATTTTTTTTGTTTTTGTTTTTTATCTATTTTTTGCCGATTCTAAGTGTTTGGCAAACCTTACATGGATTACATAGATGGTTAATATCCCCACACTTCAGCCAGTCAAACTGGTTAAAGTTAAACATGCACATGTAAGGGGAAGATGTTTTAGGCAGATGAGGCCCTAGCCGTATAATAATCATATTATTGGTGGCCTTCTTATATTTTTTTAAGCCGCCTCTATGATCGGCGAAAGCTAGTTCTACAGAAAGAGAAAAGTACAAAAGAAAAACTGAACTCCGTTTGTTAAAATACAGCAGTGGGGATGGTCTCCACATGTTAACTTTTTCCCCCAGATAACATGAAATCTAATGACAGCCGCGCTCGTCTAATTCGAGGGGTTGTGAATGAACTTCTCATATCGTATTACCAGGTGATTGGGAGCTCCGTGATGCCAACATCACGCTCTGGAGGTGAGTACTTGACCTGGTCCAGTGGAACTGCCAGCTTCAAATTTGGAAGCCTCTGGAACAAAGTAGCTGTAATCATTTGTTAGCCGTGAAAGTTTGAATGCAAGAGGAAAACTGCTTACAGAAGACGATTTCCAACTCGGTGCGGGCAAGCCGCTCGGCACCGCCGCGATGCTCTCCATAGCCGTAACCGAAGGCTGATTCGGCCCCGCGCTTCCTGTACATGTCAAATGTATCGGGGTTCTGGAAGACGTCGGCATCGCGGTTTCCGGATTGTGTGGCTGCAATTATTCCTTCGCCGGCTTTAATTGTCTGCGGGGTTCACGAGTCAGTAATATATGCAAAACTGTGGAAAATGAGCCATACCTTGCCACCTAGGGTGATGTCAACCTTGGCCACACGTCGAGTGGCTAGGGCAGAGGCAGTGTGGAAACGGCATAGCTCCTCGACGAAAATTGGTGCGAGAGATGGGGATTTCTTCAGATCCGCGAGTTGGGCGGGATTCTCGAACAAGGTAACTATTCCCTATGAAACAGAAAATCGAGCATGTCAGTTAATTCTCTGAACAGGTTGTGGAATGACTAACCAGATTAATCATGTTGACCATGGTAGCGTTTCCTGCAACGAGCATTAAGAACGCCATCTGAATGGCGTCGTCTCGCTGAATGTGACCCGGCACGAGCTAGCAGAGAATATTAGTAAGAGTTATCTGGTCAATAGACAGGAGGAGTTTTACTCACCTGTTCTGTTACAAGTTTGCTGATGAGATCGCCATTCGGCTCAGAAACTCTCTTGTCAACCAACCCCCCGATATAGTCGAGGAGGTCCCTAAATGGTTCGTTAGAAACGAACGCCAATGAGGAAATACGTGAAACTCACTGGTTTGCTTGGGATGCGGCTGTTGCGGTAGCGCTTCCATTGCTGCGGATGGCGGCTTGGTGTGTGAGAAACTTGAGGTCTTCGAATGGTACACCAAGGATTCCGTAAATGGTCTAAGAAAGCAACCAAATATGTCAGCATTCGATTTTTTTTGCAAGAGATAGAAAACTCACGTAAGATGCAACTGGGAGAGCTAGTTTCTCCACGACATCAACTGGATTCTTGCAGCCATCCTTTATCATCTCGTCAAGAAGAGTATCAACAGTATTCTGAATGCTGGGACGCATTCTCTCAATAGCCTCGCGCGAGAAAATGTCTTCGATCATGCCCCTGTGAGATCAAAACATATTAGCCCAGCTCTAGTATTGGATTATCGGATTTGCTACCTTGACTTCATGTGGTCCGGCTTGTCCATATCAACAAATGTCGGCTTTCGCTTCGCTGCCTCCTTTCCACCCTGGTCGAGCTCTGGGAAGCCAGGACGGTTGCGTTGCTTCGAAAGGCGCTCGTCAGTGAGTACACTGCAGATATCTTTGTGTTTAACAACGAGCCATGCTTGGCTTCCATCCCAGAGCTCGACCTTGGATACGGGGTCGGTGGCTCGGAGGTGGGCATATTCTTCTGCTGGCTCTGCTCCGCGGGGGCGAGAGAAAGGAAACTTTGGCGTGCCTATCAACCAACATAATTATTATCAGAGTGACGGAGGTAAACGGACTCTTTCTTACCTGCAGTTGTAGACATGGATTTCAGGGCAGTTTTGGAGATTCTGAAGACCGACGACTTCGAAGAGCTCAAGGAGGAAATGGGTCTGAAGGCAAGCATCTTGAAAGGTATGATTCAAAGTGCAGTAATAGAGATGGGTGATGGTCTACAAAAATTTCAGTTACCAGCGACCTGCACGGGCTCATATACTTTTTGTTCCCTTGTCGACAACTAGGCAAACCGCCTGTTCCGGGTATCGTATGGCTCAGTCAGCCTTTTGCTTTGACTCTTACAACGCATGATTGTAGCTATAAAATGAGTCAATATCAAATTTGCAACACAAGTTACGAGAACGATCGGAATATTAAATCGTCATAGTGCCTGGTGGCGTCGTACCCGTTGAGGTTTCAGCCGCTCCCGCGGAGCCTCCTGCCGCCTCACCGCGGAGATGCACCTCTCACCAGGGTAAAATCAAACACGGCCGGCATTATATGCACCTCCTCCCCATCAAAATCAGACGATTACAAACATTTCAATTCCTTGATTCTCCGCACACGGGATATAGGGCAGCTTGATTCGTGCTGATAAATTTATATAACTTCCGCCCCCGGGAAATATTCTAGCTGCCATATGTAATACGTACGCTATGTGCGGTTTCCATTATGATATCCACTACTATATACATTTCAAAATCACGACAACCTGAATCCTCCACTAGTTCTGGTCTGGAAGAATCCCTCAGGATCAACTGCGTGTCTGACCACGCGAGCCTTCTCGGCCGTTCGCAATCTACCCCAGTAATCCTCTCTGAAATACGCATCGTTCATGAACAATGGGCGGTATATATCAGGAAGAAGTCCGTTATCCACGTGCTGGTTGACGATGTTGCGCATGCCACTGTACAAGTTCTGGGTCGCTGCGTCAACTGCAGTGTCGGAGCTTGCGAAGAGGTAGGAGAAGTCAAGTTCGATAACGATGTAGTCGTGGGTCGTCTCAAAGTCCATCAAGTCCTGTAAGGCACGGTTAGACAGCGTATCTTTATTATTTTGAGATTGTACTTACTCCTCCCAGTGCCTTAGCCTTGCTCGTGATTGAACGCGGCATTGGCTGGAAAGCGATCGAACTGAGCAGTCCTGGCTCCAAGATGATTGACTTGGTAACATCAGTCCAGTGGTCATATATCGACCTCATGACTACGGCACCCTCAGTCTTGTTCGGGAGAGGCATCGTTTCTGTGGCAATAACGTATCGCTGACCCTCCAAGATAAATTGGTCGTTAAACTTTACGAGCTCAAGGTAACTCCTTGTCTTAGTTGTCTTGAGTATGGGTCCGATGTGCGTGAAGTTATCGAAGACTCCTGCCGGAGGCTCAAGACCATCGTAGAATAGAAACAAGATCCAGGTGTTGAGGAGGGTGCTACGTTCTGAAGTCGCAATGATTGCGGCTTTATCGTCCAGATTGTACTCGGTGAAGTCGCGGATTGCGGCGAGGACCTGGTCCGTCTTGCTGCCGTCGATGATATAGTTCCCGCCCCAGACCTTGTGTGCCTGTGGGTGCGTCTTGATTGTGAATGCCGTCACTATTCCGAAGTTGTTACCACCACCCTTGAGGGATGCGAAGAGATCTAAGTCTGTTAGCAAGTTTCGACAGTTTTAAGATCCTATGCTGACCTTGGTTTGCCGTCGCATTGGCATTGACGATGGTAGCGTTCGCGAGGACAATTTCATAATTGACGACGTTGTTCGCTCCCCATCCGTACTGTGCACTGAGGAAGCTGAGACCTCCTACTTGAAAGTTAGCAGGAACGAATGAGAAGTTGGTGCAATATAACTCACCTCCAAGAAGATATCCTCCAACTCCAACGGCGCCCATCCGCCCACCGACAACAGTGCGGTCGGTCTGCTCAATGCCCTCAATGATCTCCTCCCATTTGAGACCAGGACCAACAACAACGTTCGTGGTATCAGGGTCGTATACGACCTGGTCGAGGTTTCGGGTAGAGATCAGAATCCCATTGGCAATGCTGGCGAAACCATTGTTAGGCATATGGCCTCCTGACTTGACAGCGAATTGGTCATTGGTCAGATGCAGCGCTGCAACAATGTCGGCCACCTCTTGGGTACTGTTCGGAGAGAGCATGCATCTCGGACGGAGACTTGCGCATGCTGTTGACCAGTAGTTGTTCTGTTCGGTTTCGTATGCGAGACTGAAAGGCTTGTCCACATTTCGGCCGGAAGCCTTCAGTGTTTGACAAATGTCTGCAAGCGCAGGCGCCGCTGCAAGAATCCCAATCGCAGCAGCGAAGCTGGTAGAGGACCTCATAGCTTAAGTGATTGAGAGAAAATATACGAGATTCAACGCCACAAATTCTTGCCTGTCACTTCCGCAGCGGGCGGCGCCCTCCATATAAAGCCCCCCAATATAGGAGAACGCCCATCCCGGATACGTCTGTATGGCACGATCACAAGCGATGAAGAAGAGGGCTCCGCCTCGGCAGCGTTTCTGGAATGTAAACTCACATATATTCCGGGGATGAGTTCCTTGCTCGGACGATCATCTTGAATAGGGCCTAATGGTTATGATCACAGCTGAGTGAGAGGTGGGGCTACATGGTTATAATCACAGCTGAGCAAGCGAGGAGTCTTACTTCGGCAGCCCTTCCCTAAATATAAGGGCTTCCCGACATAGGGGATTGCCTATCTTGGATAGGCCCTTATGGTCAGGCTCAAAGTTAAAGAGGTAGAGGCTCCACCTCGGCAGCCTCGCCAACCTATTTAAGGCCACATGTCATATATCAGTGACGTCTTTCGAGCTATCGCATTCGCGTGCCTGAACTATCAAATCCATCTCGGTTGCGGGTAACGGAAACAGGTACCAGTAAACAAACTATTCCTATAAGGCTTTAGTCGTAGTATTGTTACCTGTAGGGGGG